CTGCCAGCCACTGGGAGCTGTGCTCCTCAGAGCAGCAGCTTCAGACAAATAGAGGCCTCTTAGAATTAAACTGGAGAACTGGGGTCATTGCTTTGTGGTGGAAAAGAAGCTGAGAATAGTAGACAGCAAGAAAACATAAGCACTTAACAGAGAACCACTCCCAGAGCTTTTCCAGCCTATTTTCCTAAGAAAAGGAGCCTTGCATGATCACATTGCATGTGTATGAGCGTGACTGTCAATTCTTCCTGAATAGCTTCACTGTCCAATTCTGACCGAGTTCAGCAAACATTCACAAGACTCGCAGGTACTACTGCCTCCAAGAAGACAGGCAGCTGGGTAGAGGTGAGAGATTCTGCTAATACCCTCACTGTGGAAAAAAACTGTTGTGTGAACTCAGCCTTCTATCAGACCCAAAGCTACGCAAACCCAATACCCGCATCGATAGGAAATCAGATCTCATCAGATCTGCCATCTTCATGCAGACACTCACCTTGGCACACAAAGGAGGATGGTGTTTCCCCAGGGTGGACTCGTGCAGTGATGAACACCACTTTCTGTTCGGCTCCGGGATGCAGGTTCGCTGCAGTAGAAGGGGGTGGCAGGGGACAGAGGAAAAAAGAGAGATGAAGATCCTTAAACTGGGTCCCATATGTAGGACACAAAGGACCATTAATATTAAAGCATATCTTTTTATTAAAATTGGTCATACATTATAAATAAGTACAATCTATAATTAAAGGAGGCAGCGTCACTGGGTCCCCATACTAGGCCATATAGCAGACTGCACAAGGGCTGCAAAACTAATGACATGCAGCCAAACCTGTAACAACAAAGTTAGCTCTTTTTTTAAAAACCAAGGTTTACTACAGTGAGTTTAACTGCACTGTAATTGCTCTCTCACTTGTGATAAATGTCCCCCCGGGGCGACAAGAAGAACAGTGGGGGTCCATTCACAACATAAAGCCAATTGCACCCTGCATTACACTTGATACAAGCCTTAACAGTGCCAAACAACTGTAAAGTGCTAACAAATGACATTTATTAGGCTTTACTCTGGGGGATTTTGGGCATTGGGTTTTTTTAATCTCTTCTCTATTTGGGACTGTATCTGCCCTGACTGAAAGAGATGTTCAAAAACAACGAAGTATGGAAAAGAGACCAGGATTAAATCCAGCAACCTTCTCCAGTGAGGGTGTGAAAATGTGCCGGGTCCCCTTCAAATTACAGATAGGTGGAAGGGAGACTTAGATCCCAGCTACACTGAACTTAACGTGGGTTAATCCCCAGTATTGAAATCACACTACTTGGGCCACTTGCTTCAGCTGTCAGCTGCATGGGTCAAGCAGGATGTTTTCTCTGTTTGTGCAGTGACTGCATTTAATAAACAGGAAATAAAAATTACGCTTTCAAAATGGGTTCTGGGAATTTTAAAGACCGTAAGAGGTCAGGACCTCCGTTAGATGTCTTATCTAGATCTGAACACACACAGCAGGGGTAATACTAAACACAGCAGGATCCAACTGCTAGAGACAGTTTAAATCTTTGTTTTGAAATAAAAAGTTTACATGCTGAAAGGAGACTGGAAACTAAATCCAAGTTTTTTGTTTGTTTGTTTGTTTTTTAATTAGGTAGATACATTACATATATAACCAAACATAGACTTGTAATTTCAAAGGTGTTTGGGAGTCCTCGGGACCATACCCGAGTTATTTTTTTTAATTTCCTGAATTCCGAGGAATGCTCAGTTTCCCCAGTGGTAAATCACACCTAACAGCACCATAGGAATAATAGATATATTTTTGGTTGTCTTAGGAGACAGTCTCAGCAGGTTTCTTTTTTATTTCCTTAGCCTCTCTAAATGTCCTACAGCTGCTCACCCTGTAACTCAGCCATTCATTTGTTCTTTCATACTCCAGCTTCACCACTCTGGTGTTTTTGAGCCCCAGAGGCAAAGAAATATAAGAAAGAATGTCTCTGACAAACGTAGCAGCTGGTGGGGTCAATTCTGTCTGCAGAAGAAAAGTGGGAGGCAGCAAAAAGGAACACAACACCATCAGCTAGAAGTTGATGACCACCCCACATCTTTTGCATTAACATTAAGTAGTGTGGGAGGAAGGAGATAAATCAGCAAACCAACTTTAATGAGCAAAAGGAGAAGGCTGGGATCACTTTTGCAAGAGGAGAGGAGTTTTCCTCCTCTCTTGGAAAAACAGCATTACACTTTAAAGGGACAGTGGCTCAGCACATAAGTGATGCTCAGCAACATGGCTGCCCCTGTTTGGAACTGGAACAGCTCCTTGATTAGGAAATCTTTTGGACAGAGGATTAGTTTGAGGTTTTTTGTGGGTTTGGTTTTGTTTGGTTTTAATTACAACATTTTTGTTATTTATGTTTTAACCTTCATAAGTTATTAAAAACATTAGTCAGTTCATTCTCCTCTGGAACTGAAGAGATCTTTCCCAGTTTAGGGCTCAGTGCAAAGCTGCTTGGAGTCAATGGGAGATGTGGCACGGGGTGCAAACCAGGACTTCCCTTGCCTGCTTCCTTGGGGGATGGAAAAGCACCAAATTACCACCCTGCACTCAGTGCTAAGCAACTTCACTCTGCCTTGGCTTACAATCCCCAATGCATCACTCACTTTCCAGCCCAGTACATTTGCTGCAGAGTGTAAGTGCGCAACGTTGCAATGTGCAGACCCTTCCACAGTACCCAGCCTCCTAGACATGCAGTGGTCAAAATGAACACAGGCACAGCTGGCTGTCCATCTTCATGTAGCAGACATTTTCTCCAAGTTTGTCAAGCCCAACAATGCCTTTATAAATATTTTTCTTTAAGCAATATCCTGCATTATTCATACAGAAACAATAAAACACACAGCATGTGTGACTATTCACATGTGCATTTCTTTCTGATATTTGGGCTGGATGCGATAATGTGACCTGTTAACATTTTTAAGAGTAATTTTCATTTTCAGTGTTTGGATTTCAGAATGTGTGCATCTGCATGAGCAAACAAACATTTCTTAAATGTTTCTGTTAACATTTTGGAAAAGCATGTATCTATTAAAGATAATGCAGCTTAGAAAGCCTAATTTTCTAATTCAGTAGTGTCTTCTAAATGTGGGTGAATCTGGTAAGAGTTTGTTGTGGTTTAACCCCAGTTGGCAACTAAGCACCACACAGCCACTCGCTCATCCTCCCCCCCCCCAGTGGGATGGGGGAGAGAATCGGAAGGGTAAAAGTGAGAAAACTCGTGGGTTGAGATAAAGACAGTTTAATAGGTAAAGCAAAAGCCATATTTGCCGGAAGGGCAACACAATACAGCAGGGCACCAGCAAGCCAGGAGGTCTTTGGAGTGCATCAATGATAACTTCCCAAAATAGGTGACTGAGTGTATTGGTTTAACCCCAGTCGGCAACTAAGCACCACACAGCGGCTTGCTCGCCCTCCCCTCGCCTCCCTCCAGTGGGATGAGGGAATCAGAAGAGCAAAAGCAAGAAAACTCATGGGTTGAGATAAGAACAGTTTAATTCTTGAAATAATAGAATAATAATAAGTTGTAATGGAAAGTAAAACAACAAGAGAGAGAAAAACAAAAAAAGAAGCAGGGAAAGGAAAAAAAATTGATGCAACCACTCACCAGCCGCTGACCGACTCCCAGTCAGTCCCCTAGCAGTGATCGCTCCCCCCTGTCCAACTCCCCCCAGCTTATATGCCGAGCATGACATCGTATGGTATGGAATATTCCTTTGGCCAGTTTGGGTCAGCTGTCCTGGCTATACTCCCTCCCAGCTTCTTGTGCATCTCCTCGCTAGCAGAGTATGGGAAGCTGAAAAGTCCTTGACTTAGTATAAACACTGCTTAGCAACAACTAAAACATTGGTGTGTTATCACATTATTCTCATGCTAAATCCAAAACACAGCACTATACCAGCTACTAGGCAGAAAATTAACTCTATCCCAGCCAAAACCAGGACAAAGTTGCTATGGCAAGTAGAGTCCCTGCCTAAGTACAAGGCCCTGTGAACATACGGGAAGAAACTAAACTGGCAGACAAGCTTTCAGTTCTGCAGGTCCTCTTCAATCACAGTTCAGCTACTCTGAAAACACTGGTGAAAGGGGGACAGGCAATATGGGTACTCATTAGCCAGCCTGTGGGACAAGGTGCACCAAGGGCTTCCAATATGAACCAAAGACTTAATACCGTAACACCAAACAGTTTGAGATGGGGACTTTGAACCCAGCTGATGCAGGGCATGCATTATTTACAGGCTGTGCTCCCAGCCTGAACCCTAACCCAGCACCAGCGCATTATAACCCATCCATCCAGACATCCCATGGGTGGTCTTGGAGATCGCATATTCAGCCTCGCACTCTTGTCTTGGTCTCCTTAACATCCTGTGATAAAAGGAATGGCGAGTATGTATGTACACGCACACACCTCCAAACACTCCCCTAAGTCCAAACAACGGTTTTATATATAGCCAGAAATGAAAGAGTGAAAGAAAAAAGAAAGAAAGGATAACTATGATCAGGCTACAGTAGCCAGGATTTAAAACAAAAAAAGTGCTTTGTGTTCTTTTTGCTTTACCAATTGTACTGGGTGTCCGTGTCCAGGTGCTGGCAGCGGGGGCTGGAGGGCTGAGCTCTCTGAGGAGAGGCTGGGCTGCCCCGTGCCCGCCACAGCCGGTTCCAGCCGGCTCCGCAATGGCCCCACCGCAGGGCACAGCTGAGCCCCTCAGCGAAGGTGGTGGCGCCTCCTTGAAAGCGCACATAAGGAAGGGCAAAAACACCACACAGGCAGTGAGGAGTGAGAGGAAAAAAGTGAGAGACAGCCTTGTGAGCACCAGGGTCAGAGGAGGAGGGGAGAGAGTGCTCCAACTGCTGGGGCAGACTCTCCCCTGTGGGCCCATGGAGAGACCAGGCTGGAGCAAATATCCACACTGCAGCCTATGGAGAACCCCATGCTGGACCAGATTCTCCTGAAGGACCACAGAAAGGGCCCAGGTTGGAGCAGGGGAAAGTGTGAGGAAGAAGGAGCAGCAGAGAGGAACTGTTTCAGAGTGACCACAACCCTGTTACCCATCCCCAGCACTGTTGGGGGGGGGAGGGGGGCAGCTGGCCAAGGTTAACCCACCAAACCAAATAATGGATACAACAACTACAAAACACCATTTCATATTTTAATTTAAATGTTACATTGAAAATGCATCCTGTTTTCTACTTCAGGATTGAAAAGATCAATCAAAATTAAAAAGATTAGAAGTGTATAGCTTTGCTCAGTAGATGCCAAAAGCATTAAGCAAAATGACAGAAAGGCACGCTCCATTTAGCCACAACTTTACCAATTGTGGAAATGCAGAGAAACAGTCTGTTGTGGTACCCCTTCTACTCTTCGAACTGCCATAGCAGTGAATCTTAGAAACAAAACTATTTCATGAAAATGTTTTCCAAGGGAAGAAATTTATAGATTTCTGGAATTATTTCTTTTTCATTTTTTCTTCCAGAAAGTATCTTGAAGATTGAACTAAATATTTTCTTTTCCCTCTGAAGGCTACCACTACCATCATCATTGATAATA